GCGCTACCTCCCCCCCCCCCCCTTTTAAAGTTTAAATGAATAAACCCCTCTTAAAGAGACAACACACTTCCTTGCAATTGTGATAAAAAAGTGTGTAAAAAAAAAAACCCAACTTAAAATAAATTCTGATTTTATTGTAGATGCAACTTCACAGTAAATAAATAAAATAAACATATCATTAAATCCTGCTTTTATCTCATTCATACAAAATGATGTCACCGCTACAAGACGCTTCAGAAATCCTTCAAATTTCAGATAAACTTAATTAAAATGGTTGTCTTTGGTAAATATGTGTAAAAAGCATCACAATGAGTCAATCAACCACCACAGTAGCACCATCTCAAAATTGCATGTTAGGATGTTTGTAGTACCGTTTACTACAGTGCAAGAAGCTGCATAATGTTTTATAAATAAAACTACAAGGAAAAATTGACTAGACTTTTCTTATGCTGTTTTCCCCCCCAGAGGTTTATTATCTGTCCCAAGTAATGGAGGGGAAGATCTGGGTTTAGGAAGCTTGGTGATAAGTCGTCTGTCTCAGACTCTGTCAGGTTTCCTGTGATTGGTTCTTCATATTCATCCAAAGTGTGGAACGTTTATTGTCAAAGCAGATGAAGTGCAGATGATTCTAACTGAAAGATCTCTTTCAACACGTTAACACTGAGGATGAAAAGATTTGCACGGTCAAGTGATGTGACAGTAAACCTGCGTTCGTGCTACAGAGCCACAAGACACTTGCCAAAAATAGGATGAAAACCTGAAAAGGTAAGAGATCCAGTGACCAGGTATCGTCAATGAATTCAACTACAAGGTAGGTTTAAGTGACCTTATCGATAGAATGAGGGGCTGAACAAGGAAATGGACACCGAGGGTTCTGACGCAATTTACACATCTGGCTTCAGCTGACAGCTGTCTGCTGTACCACACAGACCTCACTGTATGTGACACACCAAGGAGGAACGTCACGCAGTTTCCTGAAATTTGTTTGGAAGTGGCCATGATTTTCTTCTCTCAGAATGACAACTCTGACCTTTCAGAGTGGGAAAAAGCATCGAGTGAACGTCGTGCCCCGTGTCTCAGTCCTGAGGACGGGTAATGCCCATCTGCCAGAGGCGGTAAACCTGAAGAGAGCAAAGCGCTGCAGAGCAAACGGTAGCTCTGGGAAAGCTTGAGTGCAGCCTTACATGCGAGGTGTTTCTCTTCTTACTGGCAGATCGCAACTGTTACAAAAGCCTTTCACTCCGAGCTTTAAACAGGAAAAAAAAAAGCTTGAGGTAGATTTGAAATGTTTCATGCTTCATGCCATGTTCAGGAGTTTAAATAAACAATTTAAACAGCAGCAATGGAAAATGTTTGGAGAGTTTTTCCTACTTTGAAGCGACATACGTCTTCCCATAGGTGTTAGCCATCACTTTAAATGAGCCATATTGATCAAACGGGCACAATTATGGTTTAGCATTTTGTCTCGACACAGGCATACAATTACGCAGGCATCAAGGAAAGAGCTGTGCATATCGTTACTCAGTTGTGACATGATTGTGCTCTATTGACATTTAAAACGAATGTGCTCATACGAGGACGTCGTTTTTCCTCAGAAACTACATCAGCAACAAAGAGCAGATAATGTCCTAACAGTTTTTAGTGCTTTTTACTGCATTGTCAGCCATTGAGAAGGCAGAAAAAAAATCCATTGTAAAACAACGTTCCTAAAACCATAAAAAAAAAACATGGACATACAGTACAGCTTGTTCCTAAAACAGAGAATAGTAGTGGCTATGTCTATTTTCTCTTTAGAAACGATCTGCTGTAATATTCTATAGTTATCAAAAGGTTGAAGATCTTTCCAGGATTTCATATTCATCTCTTTTGTTTCACAACTCGTGGCAGTGGGACATTTATATTACATGCTTGAATAGCTGCGAGTCAAAATATCATAAAAAATTTCCCTCTCTGTTATGTTTTTTTTTTTTTTAGAGGCATGAACAGAGTTCATTTTGAAGCACCTGTAGGAAGTTTCCCAAGCTGCTGTGTTATTATCACTTTATTAAGTCAGAGGGTGTGAGAGAAATAATCTCCTTCGGCAGACCAATTAGTTTGGCTGCATCAAATACGAAATTGGCACTTTAGTCATAAAGCATTAACCTAGAGAGGAATGGAGGAGGAATGAGTAAAAAGGCATTTTACTCATTTATACAAGGGCTAACAGTATGTGTAAAGAGCACTATGTTATAATTAACTGATCAGGTATAGCTTCCTTTTTATCATGTTTCAATTCTTTAGACCATCTGAGTATTTTTATGAACCCCTTTAACTCAGAGTAAGCTTATCTTTTTAGAAAGCTGAGTTTCATTTTTCTAGCTACATTCAGGTCCAATTACACAACTTTCAGACTTAAGAAACACGTCTACTGAAATTGTGGGTAAAAGACCCTTAAATGCGAAACTTTGCCGCAATCTAAGAAATTCAGGACTTGATGAGAAATAATCGGCATCCGTCAGATTCACCCAGAACACAAAGAACGAGTTGTGGAAGGAATCACAGTGGCAGAGATCTAGACAACTTGCATTAATTGAACCATAATTCTGCATAGCGATCATTGCACCACTAGTTATTAGGCAGAACTTATTCAAATATTTAGTTTTTTGTCTGGTACTTAATAGTTTTTCTTTTATGATCTCAAATATTTAAATGTGATACGAAAAGACAGGAAAGTCTGGTTTGTAAACGATTCAAGGGACATTTGGTCCAGTTATCTTTCTTTATGTGTGATGTAACAAAAAGATGATATAAATAAAGTAACAAAAAACCACATCTTGGTTCCAGAGATGAGGTGAAATAGACTTTACGGCAATGTCTGGAAGATATGTAAAGAATCTGGATGAGTTTATCAAAGTGCATTCTTTGAATGAAAAACAAAAACTCACTCTTTTCCTTCTCTTTCTCGCAGGGGAACAGAAGCTACTCATCTTTGCTGCGATGAATCACAAGATAAAGATTTTTATGACTCACCCGATTGTACTACGGCGTTAGTCGAGCTTGATTTGCTGACAGTGTTTTCACGCTGATCCCTTTTACTTTTCACGCGTTGACAACTTGATATTTATGACAAAAAAAGTGTTTTTCAACATTTTTCACAAAGCCACTGTGAAAAGATGAACTGAACATAACAAACAGACATTAGTCAGATGATAACGCTGCTGTGTTTGAATTGGTTCAACACTTCTCTTGCCATCATTTTTCCCAGGCGTTTGATACCATTTGAAATGCTGAACATATGGTTGTTACTTATGCATTTGGTTTTTTCTTCTACCGTTCTTAATTTTTTTGTACAGCACTTTCGTCCACTGTCATTTTTAATGTGCTTCACAAATAAAATGGATTGGATTGGATCAAGGCTGAAAACAAATTAATTTATTATGATTTTATTATATGAGGATTCCAGCAGTGAACCTACTGACAGTATGTGAATTATGACTTTTGCTTGACTTTTTGCTGAATCGATTGTCTTTATACTGTTTCACAGAATTTCCTCAAGCTTTACGGAGATAATCCAGAAACTATTATTTTTTTGATCTTAGAAACTCATGGATTGAGATCGATGCTCAATTGGGCTCAAAATGCTGTTGAATTATTTAAATTTTTATGCTTTTATCTATCAAAGTGTTGCTTTTTATGCAACACTTTATTTTCTGACTTTCCTTTGATGTTCAGTAAAGCACTTTGGATTGCATTGTGTATGAATTGGATTATAAACATTCATTATACCACTGATTTGTGATATGTCACAACAATAATAACCGATGAATATCAGACATGCACTTAATGAACTTGGATTGGTCTCGAGCGCCATCTTACTTTTTTATTTGTGACCAAATCTCACACTCTCCTTTTCTGACATAAAATGTCAGAATTATAATATTTTATGTCAGAATTCTGAATTGTAGCTGATAAAACTTTGAACTTACGATATAAAAATAGATTTCTAATTAGTCAAAAAAAGCGTTCCTAGTTTCCACCCAAGTAATAGAATATAAAATTAAGCTTCGATTTATACGGTTGGCTTATATATTTTTTACTTTATCAAACATTTAATAGTCATTAGCTTGATAAAAAATATTAATGTCTTATTCCATACAATTATTTCAAATTCTAAATACATAATATTTCTGGCAGAATCTATCTGCTTTAATTTTGTGATTAAAGTTGCTAATTGGGGAGGAAAGAATGCATCTGTGTGACGACATTTTGATACGGTAATCTTTGAAGGTGATTATTAAAAGAGATACACCAACTCGCTACATTTCCATTGTGTCCTACTCTAAAAGGCGACATGAAAATGATGCCAGTTCATCAGAGTTCATTGTGAAATGGTCACATTTAATGGTTGAAACCTGTCATTGTATATACATCTATAAAAAAGACCCCAGGTACAGGTTACGACATTCTAATGCTAATACATACATTATTATTATCATTATTAATAATATTAAATAATAAACTTTGTTCATTGTTAAAGTTACATATCATAGTTTACAAAATAGAATCAAGAAAGTAAGCCATTATGAATGTCTGAAAAAAAAACAAAACAAAAAAAAAACAAGGGGACAAACAAAAAACTAAAGCCCTATATGCATCTTTTTATTATTTGTCCATAAAATTCAAAAATTACAATAAACACATCAATATTCATTTGAATAACATAATAATACCTGCTGATATTGGCTATTAAAATGTAAACTGAAAAATAATAAAAATGTTTGTAAAGGCGCCAGACTTTGGAAAGCAAACAGATTCATGTTACTGTTTTTCTTTTTATTACAGCATAGAGCAGAAACAGAAACCAACATACTGTAGCTCATGTCAGACCCAAAACGCAACGTTGCTGTGAAAACAAAGTCAAACCAAACGCAAATTTGTGAGAAAACAAATGTTCCGTCTGAAAACCACTTTATTTTTGTTCTTTTTTATTTTTATTTCATTTTTATTTACCTTATTTTGTATTTTTTTAGTTTTTATTATTATTTTATTTAATTTTTTTTTTACAATCCAGGTCCTTCTTATCAGTCGCTGTAAGCACAATGTAAAGCTAACGGTCTAAATAAGTCGAGCTACCATTACTGAATTCTTCAAAGTGTTAGTCCCCAGATCGAACAAAGGCTCCCTCCATCGGTTCGATTCAGTCGTCGGAGGCTTACAGTGGCGTCTTTGTTAAAACGACGTGTGTGTGTGTGTGTGTGTGTGTGTGTGTGTGTGTGTGTGTGTGTGTGTGTACACAAACAAGAGCTGCAGATATCCTCAGGTTTGATACATATAGCACTTTTCAGCATCACCACCCCACTTGCATATGTACACACTTTCTGAGCACAGGCACAAGCTTCGGGAAGCTCAGTGAAAGAATTTGGAGCCACTTGGTCGGGGTTGCTTATGAGTCTTTGGCATGATGGTTGAGCTGTATGTGGGGGCGCTACAGTAGCCACACACACAAAGGCACGACTGCGGTAAGTGTGCGTTTGTCTGTGAAGCGCTCTGCAGTTTAAAGAGTAAGGGAGAAGGTCAATTAATGAATAAAAAAATAACAATGAGTTGGTTGTCCTGCTCGGAGAAGGAGCTTTCTGAACCAAACAAGCCAACAAATCAGTCTGCCGCGGCTCATCGAAGCCACAGGGGCGTAACATTAATCACTTTGATGCTGCTGCTGTCGTGGTTGTTCTGCTGCCTCTGCTGCTGCTCTTGTTGTCGACGTTGTCGTTTGCAAAAGTTCCTCTGAAGAATGTCTTTGTCCCCCGTCAGCCAACAATGACTGTCTGATTTCCCCTCTTAAGAAATTTTGGTGAGTAACTGTGTGATGGACAGATATGATCAATGCACTGTATCCTCAAAAACATGTGCAAAATAGAAAAAACACCAGCTTCCGCCTCTTTATCTTGTTCTTCCTCCCACCTGTTGTCACTCCATGGGATTAAAACATCTGGAGAGGCAGAATGGAAAAAAAACAAAAAAAAACAAAACAAAGCAATTTAAACTGTGAAGCAGAAAAAGTGTTATCTCTTGTCTTTTTATAAACCTTCCAATCTGATTAGCAGTAATTTGACAAAGTATTCATACCACTTCAACTTGGAAGAGGTTAAAAAAGAACATTTTTTATTATTATTATTGGGATTTTATGTGGTAGACTTTATGGATGTTTGAAAATTACAAAGGAAAATCATTCAACGTTCAAAAAATCTTCAAAAAAAGAAGAGGAGACATAATTTCAACTTTAGGCCTAGATCTACGATGTAAAAGTGTGTAGGAAAAGTAAAATTTCATATCAGCATGAGCACAATATCCTGAAATAAAACACAGTGGTGGCAGCATCATTAAATGGGGTTCCTTTGATTCAGCAGGAACAGAGACGTGTCTTTGTGACCCAGTCAAAGTCAAGACAATATCCAACTATTATTTTATGGCAGAATTTGAAAATGGATCATGGATATTATCCCTCTGCCTGATCTTAATTGTGTTGCATAGAAGAATGGACAAAGAAAAAACAATCTGGCAAAACTAGCAAAACCTAAAACATGAAGCTGAAAGTCGGTTATTTAGAGAGTTAGTGCAGTTGGGTTGATTACACATGAAAGCTACACTTTCTGTTTTACAATTGTAAGAAAATGAAAAATCCATTTATCCTTTTGGATTTATTCTTCACAGATATGCACTACTTTGGTTTGATCTATCAAATCAAATACCAATACAAAACTGTGCTGTCAACTAAAAAAGAAAGAAAAAAAAGAGGAAAAATGCAAGTTGCATTTTTACATTTCCAAAGCTTCAAACACAATCAGACACTTGTACTGCGTTTTATTTCAACCTCAAATAGACTCTGCAGAAGAAACTGTAAAAAAACAAACAAACAAAAAAAAAATCTCCTGTGGTCATAAAATAAACTCCCCACACTGGAGTTACTCTTGGAATATCAAAACATTTTCATGACAATAAAGTCATGCATTGACATGTTGATGTTTACTATACCAATGAAGTCCAAAATCAATTTGGATATGTATGTGTGTGTGTGTGTGTGTGTGTGTGTGTGTGTGTGTGTGTGTGTGTTGGTGCTCACCACATGAACAACAGCATCATCCCTAACAGCAAAGGAGAGAAAAATGTGACGACCCTGGCAGCTCTGCCCACCGGAGGCTCGGCCTTCTGCGGCGCTTTGGAGGACGGTATGGGAGAAGTCTTCGTCTCTGCAGAAAAACGAGTCACCAGATTGTTTTAGTCATTCCCTTACACACCTGGTCAGTTGGATTTGTTATTTAGCCGTTTGCTGAGATTTTTTTTTCCCCCGTCCATTTGCACAGAGTACAATAGTGCAGATCCTGAGGGTGAAAATCTTTCAGTCCATCGTTCTGATGAATGGAGTGATGAAAATGCTCATCATAACGGGAAGGAGCAAACAGAAAGGAAAATACAGGGAAGAGCAAAATCAATTCTAATATACAAGCACAATCAATGGGAGACTTGTCAAGGCAGTTATGAAGTGAACAAGACAAAAAAAAATAGATCCATTCTGCATAAAGCGCAAACAGGGGGGAAGAGAAAAAAACTGGGGGACAAGGAAAAACAAGATAATAGTCAAAAAGGAAGGAGGAGTACACTATGGCCACATGAGTGCAGCTACAAGAGGACAGTAGAAATCCATTTATCCATACCGTACATTTATATCTTCCAGCTGGTACTTAGATTTAATTATCTAACAGATGCTGTGCAGACCTTTAGTTCTATATTAAAAAATATCCAATGTACAGCAAAAGGATTACAAGATATCTTCTGATCCTAATCAATAATCCCGGCTGACTTAATCCTAAGAAACCAGGCATTATGCCAAAAGAAAAAAAAAAAAAAGAAGCATTGTCTCATTGAATCATGGACTTGATCAGGACAATAGATCACAATTAGCCTATTGGTAAATTCTGGTGTCTTTCCCTAAATGTTAAGTGATGTGCTTTGTGCCTTCCAAATAAATTAATACAACTGCAGGCCTGATCAGTGCCAGACCTGTGGAACCAATGAACCCCTTTAAAATAAAACGTTTCTGACGACATGAAGTAGGCTAAAAGCTCTCAGAAAGGCAAGAAATTCAAGAAAAGACGACAAATAAATGACACGCATCTATCTGACAACGTAATTCCTGAGTTTTTTGCACTTCTGCAAACATGTGAGAACCATGATATTCATATGGAGAAAAAAAAAATGGAACAATCTTCCAAGGAATGAATGACCAAGAAAATGAACAGTGAGAAGACATCGACTACTCATCCAGGCCACTTCTGAACAACTAACGCTGCAGTTCCCTTAGTTCAGTTCAGTCAAACTAACACAACATAACGTTGAAAGAAAATTATCTAACAAAAGGCAGGTTAACATGGTGGTGAGAGTGGCGCATATAATCAAGACAGAACAGCAGTAATACAATTTATTTAATGATCTGAACTATGTAAGTGTGACAAAGAGTCTGAAACGGAGGCAATCTGTAAGGGTGGAAATATTTTCCATGGCGCTAGTCGATGGAATTCATGGAGGATGGTGGGAGGCGAGGGGGGTAATTAATGGCTTGTGGCAAACATAAATATATGCTAAAAGTCCCCACACACTGATGAATTTCTTAGCTCTACAGTTTGGTTTTACACTGCCAGACAAATTAAAATATCAAAGTTTAATGCTTTATAAAACTGGGCTATTGCTACAGCTGCAGGCAGCACAGCAGATATTAACTCATGCAGGATGTTTGCCGCTCGATCTGTGAAGAGAGTATATGATTTCCTTTTCCTTCCAATTAATGACTGTTGTGGTGTGCTGCGCTGGGAAGTCGGGAGATATATTAGACGGAAGCAACCAGGTGTGAAATAGCCAGAGAAAGAGGGAACCGGGGCTGCGCTTAACACGTTCAGCAGCACAGCCAGAGCAACGCTTCCTGCCTGCAGCAAAACATTCTGCTTAGGACCGGAGACGAAAACAAAAAATTATGCAGAAATAATGTGCTGGTGACAAGGAGAGACATTTATGGGGTGTACGGCAATTGTAACGAGCGAGTTGAGGACAGGTAAACAGAGGAGATGAGACAACGGAGAGAGAGACGGAAGATTGATAAACTCCGCCGTGCGGGAGGAGAAAAAAAAAAGCAGGTGAAGACGGAGAAAAACACTAGAAAGGAAGCATTTAAGAGAAGCTAATATGACGGAAAAAGAAATGCTGAATGACTTGAACTCCAACAGCCTCCCGTGTTAATGCAGATTATGTTGATCGCAGACGCGATCTTTAGGTTGTCTGAATTTAAATTACAGCTGTGAGAAAATCATGAATACAGCATCTGTGATGATCCAGGTGTATGTATGTATATATATATATATATATATATATATATATATATATATATATATTTTTTTTTTTATATATGATTTATGACATGGAAGATTTATTCATTCATATTCAGACACATATTTAGACTCTGCTCTTTGCCAAGACACATTCAAGTTATAAAAGCAAAGTGGTGAGGGTGATTGTTTTCACTCAACAATATTCAAATCTAAACCAAGTTTTATGAATCACAAGAGTATTGTTATTACAACAACAAACCACTATTGTGGGTTTCAACCACATTCTAAAATACGTAAATAACTCAGCATCACTCTTTTAGGGATCTGATACCATAGTATATATAAATACCAGCAAAGCAAGGTAAATAAAGAATAGATAGCCCGACAGCAAAATAATAATAATAATAATAATAATAATAATAATAATAATAAAAACCTATTACAGGATATAAACTAAAAATGCTCCTTCTGTTAGACAGGTGACCGGAATCGGACGATTTTCAGCTTGACCTGCCTGGCTGGTGACCGGCAAACGAGACACCGAAAAATCAGATTTTCTTTTTCTTCGGTCAGTAAACACACCTTAAAACAGGAAAGCAGCATGCTGGCTCATCATGCGGGATGTGTGGTGTTTTCTTTTTCTTCTTCTTTTTTTTTAAACAGGTAAAAAAAAAAGAAAAAAATTACAGCTGGGATGAGGGTGTGGGAGTCCTTGGGGAAAAAGTTTGTATTGTGGCATTTGTGTTTTTTTTAAAATTATTATTATTTGGGAAATTTGGTACCTCAAAACCTCTTGAAACATAAATAGAGCTGATTCTTAGCTATATTTTTCACTAATCAAAGTATCTGGAAACGAGTACATTCAATAATTCAGAGGTGTGTCGAGCTCCATAAATCGGTAATGCAGATCTGAGGTGAACCATATTTGTTGTAAAAGCTAAATGGAAAAAAAAAGCTGAAAATGTGTCACACCAGGTTGGATAAAAAGTTTATTTCGACCTCCCATGCAGTGAAAAATGTGCTAACAAAGTTAAAAATATATCCAGCTGTTGCCATGGGAAACCAATGGTAAAGTGTGGTATGTTTGGGTCATCAGATATCCACAACAATTTTTATTCACTATCAACCTAACAACTGGCTTTTCAGGAGCCATCCCATAAAAATAAACAAACAACAGAAAAAAACAATTTTGTGTGCGCAGTACTACTGAGACTACAACTCAGATTTTATATAACAGAGGATATTCATCAAGCATACTGTTGGGCACAGTGGAGGATCTGTGATGCTGTGGATCTGTTTCTCTTCCAAAACACTCGGCTCCTTCACATAGAAACCCTGAGAGTCACATAATCTATGTAAAGGTTAAGATCATTTCATTTAGAATAAACTCAAGTTAAATTCTGGATTATTCTAATGTTTTCAGAACATGAACTCCTGCGCTGTAGTTTACCACAGCAAAGAAGTCCTTCACTGTACCTTTCTACAGCAAAGGATGACTTTATTTTCCTCTGTCGTTTGTTTTTTTTCCTTCTTCTTTCACCTTTAATTTTACAGCTCAGTATATTCTAACACATCTCAGTGTTTTCATAGCGGTGAGAGATTCAAAGGTGCAACCGTGTCTGTCACCTTTATGGTTGACTTTGGGGAAATGCGAATTTCACTCCAGTACATGTTGATTTGCTGATGTGTGTTGTCTAGTTTTACTGAATCTCTTCTCTTCCAGAGAACGTAATGGAAGAAAGGACCTTAAGTCACCTCAAGACCAACCTCAGTGCTGCAGGTCTAATGCTTGCCATGAAACGCAAACTAATCATGTATAAATAACATCAGACATGAAATATATTAGCAATATGTAATGTCACCTGGCCTGCTTGGTGCTACACAGTGTACAGTTTCTGTCTGAGGGAGAGACAGGCAGAGATTTACATCGAAGAAGGTTACGACACAGACGCTCCGCTGTGGATCTTCTTTTTACATCCTGGAATGTGGCGGGTAAGCACCAATATCTGAGGATGGGATTTCGAAATGCCGTGTCTGTCACCATGCTATTCCTTCCACCAGAAGTCCGTTGATGCCAAGAAACACAGCCAGCCACTACTCTCTGTGCAGTTTGAAACTCGGAGACACGCACACAGAAATAGACCGCCACAGAGCGGCGATAGAGACGGGAAGGAGAAAGGGAGGAGATCGAGAATACTTAAACATTTGCTTAGACTCACCAGCACAATCAATAAGTCAAAGGAAGTGTTTTCAATTACTGTTTGGATGAGCAGCCAGGAAATATCGGTCATGGTGGAGATGGTAATAAACTGAGAGGAAGTGAGGCCTGGCAGAACTTTTGTTTATTGGCCTTATTATGGACTGGAAATAAGACAGTTTCCTTTCTCCATACTAATGTGATTCTCCTTGAAGTGCAAGAGTAAACTAGAGAATTAGAGGATACAAAGTTTGTAAAATTCTGTGCAAATCTCAAATAACTGTAAAATGAATGACTTTACTGCTACATGTTGTTTTGATGTCTCAAGAGATTTTCCTGTTTAAATCAAGAACTATAATGTTTCTATGTAAGGAAAACACATAATGACTGCATTAAAAAATAACCAACCCACCAATGATGATCATAAATAAAGTTTCTAGAGTGTTTTTTAAGAAAAAAATTCACGACAATTTTGTTACATTAAATCACAAGCATTTCTAAGGTCTTCTTGTAGTAAACTAACGCAAAGTAGTGTTGAAGAATATTTTTCAAGTAATAAAAACTATATATGAAAGTTTTGTCATGTGCTTAAAACTAGGCAATTCTTAATGTGATGCCCCTAAATAAAGTTGATTTCAAATTACTGCCTTCTGAAGTCACATAGTTCATCTCACAAAGCTCAGCTGGGAGAATCTATTAACAGGAAAACTTCAACCAGTCTTCAATAAGAAAACCACTGCTAAAAGAGAGTCATAAGAATTTCCATTCACAGTTCGCCACAAGCCACACAGAGCTGACAAAAAAATGAAATATGTGGACAAACGTGCTCAAGTAAGGCCAAGAGCCAAAACTTTATGTGGGAGAAAACTAGCACAACATCACACCAAACACCTCATCCCCATGATGAAGCATGGAGGAGGCAGCATTGGACTGTGGGCATGTTGTTCATCAGATGAGAGCATCTGTTGAATGGGTGACTGTCATTCAATGACATGTTGATTTGCTGCTACCTGTCTGTCCACAAATCTGATATTTATGCAACAGCAGCAATAAAAAGCAATAGGAAATGTTTTTAGCCGTGGATAACGGCAGAACAAATATTTGGCAGAAGAAACACATCACTCCATTGTGAAAAATAATAGCGATAGCATACTTCTGTGCTTCTTCTCTGCTTGTGTTTGGCGTAGAATCAGTCAGATCATTGAACTCCATGCCACACTTTTTAGTTCACAATCATGCTGTGTTTTGGTTGCATCGAGTTATAAATCCCTATAATCTCCTATTTAGTTTGCGTTTCTAAAATAATTTAACACCTTCTTAACTCCCCCTCTGCAGGCCAGACTCATCCAGTTCAACAACAGGCAAACATGAAGTCATTTTATGGATATCAGCGGAGCAACTGCAGCTGCCACACACAGTCCTCTGCACAGCTGGAATCAGTCACCCACCAAGTGACATCTTTAGAGAAGGCAGGAAAGAGAAAAGAGAGATTTGTTCCAAGTGTGGGGTGGCAAGAGGTAGGAGTGAGAGGAGTGACTGATCAATAGAAAGAAGTTAGAGAGAAACAGAGACCTAAAGGCAAAAAAAAAATGAAAAAAGAGAGAGAAACAGAGGGGAGAAGAGACAACAGGACGACGAGAGCAGAAAGGGAAGCAGCGAGGCGGCAGCTGGAACGGGCAGACGCATGAGGAGAATCCCAATAACCTGCTGTTCTTTCCTTGAGAGCGAGGATAATGCACTGTGTGCCGAGTGTTCAAGTGAGAGCGGACAAAGCGAGCCGTATTTGATTGGAGGGCCGTGTTTGTGTGTGGCTTTCTGACTGTGTGATTGTTTCCAGCAAATGTGTCAGAAGATGGCACATATGTGGAGGGTTGTTTTCCAGCCAGTGTTTGTCCCTCTGCAGGCATGCATGTGCTCATTAGGTAAGGACTGTGTGACAGTATACGTGTGCAGTGCTGCACTTCACCAAAAGAAGTCAGCCTTGTGCTGTAAAACTATCGCCACGTGTTATTGGACAGCCAGGCAGAGATGGACAACGACACAGCAAACAGGCTGACCGTCTGGATTTCATGGTGTAGATTCAACTCTAACGTCTAAGTGAAATTGCTCAATTTATCTTCTCGGTTTTCAGTTAATTAAGACAGATTATTAGCATCTGAACATGGATGTGTTTAGGTATAATACGTAATTTAAAAAAACAAGCAAACAAAAAAAAAACAATTGTAATTGGACAAGAAAATAACTCTAGTTTAGTTTAAGTGTGAGGTGTAGTCATAATTAGATTGCTGCCTTATCTCAGGCTGAGCATGACCCATGAAATTCTGAATCCTCTGTCAAAAAAAAACAACCTTAGTTGCTGGATCAGAATTTGCAACGGGTTTGGACTTGTAAAATAGTGCCTGACCACTTTATTAGGTACACATGATTAACTCCTTTGTAACGCAAATGACGAATCAGCCACTGGCAGCAACTCGGTGCGGTTAGGCATCTAGATGTGGTGAAGTAGTTTTGCTGAAGTTCAATAAAAAGCATGCCAAAGAGGAAGGAAGGGTGTTGAAGTGGCTGTAACCACAGCATTGTTTTTGCCAAACAGGGTGCCTTGACTCGTTTCCAAAACTGCTGATCTACTGAGAATCTTTAATGCACAACAAACTCCTGAGCTCAGAGAGCGATCTGAAAATGAGAAAATATCCAGAGAGCGGCAGCTGTGTGGACAAAATATACCTTAAAAATGGTATTTCCCGGTACTTTTTATTAATGATAAAAGTAAGTATGTCGCAATAAGCAAAAATGTAACTAACTGCATGATACATTACAATGAATTTGATCATTTCCATTCTGATCAGTAATATTTTCTGAAGGAGACTTTTCTGGGACAATTTATTGTCCAGCAAAATTTGTTATTGTTAAAGGCCCAGTTAAAAGTGGGGTTTTTTTTATAATTTACTCCAGAAATCCCTCACAGTTCAAATTTACACACAGTTAAGTTGCATCTTAATCTAATGCTGTGAAAAGGTGCTTGTCCCTTAAACATATCTTCTCCTCGTGCTTTTTTGTCACATTTAATGTTGTAGTTCATCAAACAAACTTTAATATCAAAGATAAGTCAAGGATAAAGTCAGCTAAAAAAATAATGATCTCATTTATTTAGGGAAGAGATTCATCAAAATCAAACTGGTCTTACTGTTTATGAAAATCTCACGGCCTCTGTTCATGAAATTACGAATTAACTGATATCAACCACAAAATATGAGTTCAGTTTTAAAAGTCACACCTGCAGAATCAAGAAATCACTTGAAACGAACCTTTCTGACAACAATGAGCTTGTTAAAATATCACAAAAGTCAATGCATCCTGATCTAAAGAAGTTAAAGAAAAATTCAAGAAGACGAGAAACTAAGAATGTTCATCTGCCAGTCTGGAAAGGTTTAGGAAACCTTTCCCAAGACTTTGGAGCTGCGCTGAACCACAGAGAGAGCTGTTATCCAGACACATGGTGTCGAACTTTTCCAGGAGCGGAGAGCCGGCTAAAATTACCCCGACTCTTCAGAGGTCACAGAAGAACCTGGAACAACTTGTGCTCTGCAGACTTCACTTCCCTTTGCCAGCATCATTGTTTCATGATTCCACCAAACAACGGGAAATAGGTAAAAATGTCATCCAAGTGACCAAACTTCACTAAAAAGAATACAAAGTCCTGTCTCACATTTGCTGAAAATTATCTTGATGATCTTAGGGTGTCAACCTCTCTCAGGAAGCCAATATTGGCCTAATAGTGTTCAACAACATCATAAAATTCCTTCTCTTGTGTTTGTTTTGCACAAGACAACAACAGGTTTCTCTTCAATCATACGCCTCAGCAGCCCCAAAAGCATTTGTGATAGCCAGTTGCATGCATTGTTCATCATACGGTAATCTACTGATTTGATTACGGGACAAGGACAATCCTGGGCTACCCTGAATCAAATTCAACAGAGGGATCTGCACACAGCTAAATAACTTAATCATACAGAGTTATGCTTCTTCTTAACTACTGTGTGCCAGTAAGGAACACCATCTTCTCTGGCACTCATGCCTACACAGTGCAGTCTTTGTTAGGACTGCTTTTTATATGGAGATAATGTCAAAGCACAACGTCTTGCTCAACGGCGAACTCTCACAACCTCTCCTCACATTGCTAAATTCAGACACAGCTCCTTTTAATTTAGATTTCTAGAGTAAATCTAAAGTATACCATTGGTGAATTCTCCACATATATATTATATGTAACAATTAAAAACCAAAAATAAAGAGTTTTACAATTTTTTCCCCCTCTACTTCATAACAGACATATATTCACCCAGTTACTATCCGAGGTTGTGATTGCAGTAAACATGGCTGTTGTCACTCAGTTATTTATTTTTTACATACAAATCAATAGAGTTTTGTTATTGCAGTATTTCTAAAGTATGTTCAACAGAGTGTTCATCCCTGAAATACACTTCTTGGTGTTCAGGTGCTCTCAGTGTGCTACCAGAGTTTCACGCCTGACACACGTCGATGTCTATTTACCAACCTGTCTGCGGGTTTGGCAATACTCATCTAGGGGTGTAAAATGAAGAAAAAATTACATAAAAATAAACCGCAACAAAACACATTTGGAAAAATTCTTGTTATACTGCAAAGTACGCTGTAGTATTAGAGGCAGGCTGGAGTTGGATGAAATACGTGAGTGCTCTTTTAAAAGGTAGCACTGTTTTCCCCCTGAGGCAGTTTTCAGCAGCTCGGGTTGATACGTGACAGTTTGACTTGAGACTGCTAGATATTTATTTATTTACCTTGAACTGTAATAGAAGAAGCTAAAGCCTTACTTGTAATGCTTAATGTGTACAAAGTGTTATCTAAATAAAACTGTTATGCAAAGTATAATTTCATGGCAAGGTAATTATAAAGGCAATATTATTTAAAAGCCAAAGGCAGAAGGTGAATTATGAAAAGCTTCAGTGGATAAATGTCAAAAAACTTTATAGAAATGGCTACAAAAAATAAAGCAATTTGTAAAAAATAATGGTGAGTTGTATTTGTGCCTAGTAAAAAAATATATATATATATTGTCTTAGTTTCCAGTGAAACACTGGAATTGATGAAGTCAAAATATGAATCTAAAAAAAAAAAAAATGCATTTTTTTTTTAGAATTAAGATTTTCTTGTTTGGTATCACTCTTTAAAATCACATAATGCTGTACAAGTACAATTTGTGAAAATATTTTCCTAGGCTTTTAACTAATTAACAAGTGAAAACTTTACTCGTTTTCTCCTGTGTCAACAGGATGCAAGTAGTCAGATATGTTCTGGAACTCCATCATGCAGAGAATGGCGCCTTGAGGAACCTCACAGGGGATGTTTGTTCATCCAAATGTGGATCTTAACTGCAGCAATGCACTACAGTGTTCCTGTGCTCGTTCCTCAAAAGAGGAGACTTGATTTAGGCTTCAACCTACCATTAGGAAAGTCCACTTCGGTTGTGGTAGTGATTGGCAGAGGATCCTCAATCCAGGGTGTGGCATGTACAGCAACGCTCCAGTCACTCCATGTCCCAATCTCTGTGTCCTTAGCAGCTATCTGTTAATGCAAGGATAGCAGGAACAAAGATGTTTCTGACAATCGGTGTTATTAAGCGTCAATTAAGTATTGGTTTAACACCTTTTTTTTTGAGTGTTTTTTTTTTTTTAAATGAAAGAAATAGGTAAAAAAAAATTGGTTACCTGTATGATGTATTCCTTCCCAGCATAGGCATCGGTAATGGTATGCGAAGTGCTGTCAAGCAGCTCCACCTAAACAAAAAGCAACATAATTCCCCCAATTTAGAGCAAGAAACAGAATGGGAGTGAAATTGTATCATAAACTGGAATTAAAATCAAGTAGTACGAGTTCTGCTCTTGCATATATGCATTTTTTTTTTTTTTTCCTGAGACGTCAGCACTGTGAATAAGATTAATGCATTCTTGAAAGAACTCATACTTTTAAGCAGGCTGTGTGACCCTGGGGACACAAAGTGGTCTGAATTGTGAAAACTTCGAGCTTAAAAGGGCAACTATGAGGTCTTGAGTCAACATTTGATCCGGATGTCTAACCCTTCCATTGCCGTGTCCATAAATTATGATCTCAGTATAGAAATACTAGCTTGAGCTTTTAGCTTTTCGATGATTTATGGCGGGAAGACCTATTCACTATTCTGTGAATAGGTCAAGTGTGTGGCTTTAACCTTCAGGTGTTTTACACTCTGTTGATGAATTGACTGTAACCTGATGCCCCTCCGCAGCCTCCGCTCTCCACACATACAAAAACTCCTACAGAGGCGAATACATAATTGATGATTACACCAGAGAGAACTGGCATCAGTGCCACATAATTTTCTGACAGAGAATAAACTAAATGTTTGAGTAACAGGGGAGTGAATGGGAAAATGATTTGCTGCTCCTCTGTAATTTACGGTTAGAGCAGTGCGTGTGTGTGTGTGTGTGTGTGTGTATGATTGTTTGCCGGTGGCCTGCTTCTGAAAGGGTGAAGGAAAAATAGTGAGAGGGAGGCAACTGCACTTTCTGTTTGCCCCCTGAAGTCAACACAAATCATTATGTGAATGCCAGATGCATTCTATAGCCAACAGTGTCGATGTTCCTAGATATAGAAAATTCTACTGCGTAGTTAACTATTTATATAAAGATGTTCAGCTTAATCTAGATCACATTACGGGAAAACCTTGACCAAAACTGAAATATTTCAACGAAGCAATTCTCTCACTGACAACAACTTCAAGTACTTGAGAATGTTATGGAATATTCCTTACATTTGTCTCAATATCAAGTTTATTTTTGCATTACTTAGTTTCAATTCTGTTGATTTATACAGTCATACTCAATATAATAGAATATTATACAAAAATTGGTTTATTTTGGTAACTCAATTTCCAAAGCAAAAACATATGAAATGGATTATTTACACACAGACAGATGTTTTCGAGTCTGTTTTTCTGTTAATTATAATGAAAACACAACATTTAAAATGAAATTATACATCAGCCCAATACAGAAGATAAAATTAATACAGAAATGTTGACTTAGTGAAAAATATGTAGTTAATTTCAAAAGGCATTTTGAATATGACAGATGGACATTGTTGGGTTGCTTAGTTTCATTTACTGAGCAGGACTGTGTAGCACCAATCCATAACAAATCTTCAAGGTACTTTGCATATCCAGATTAAAAAAAAAAAAAAAATCAAGTCAGTCTAATCAAATAAACAAGCAGTCATAGACTTTTACCACAAACTCTCACACTGAGTTAGTTTGTTGACAAATAAACCATATGTCATATTGCCATTACAATGTTCACAAAGCCATTCTACTAAACTAGTTAAAGTTATTGGTGAGTGAATTTTTTTTTTATTTTTTTTTTTAGATTTGCAATGTTTATGTAAGTCGGATCACCGTCATTAGAGTTTGTTATTTGCCGCCGTTTACCTCTTCGTTGCAGAGAGCAAAGTGTTTCAGAGTGAAAACAAATCAGTGGAGCAGAAAGAATGGTTATTATTTCTGTAATACTGGATTTTGTCAGAAGACAGATATGGGAAATGTAAAAAAAAACTAAACAAAACAAATAAAAAAATGCATTTCAGCAGCACTTCAAGAGGCCAAAAGGATAAAAGTGTCCGTCACTCTAAAATGGAATGTGTCACTGTGAATGAGATCGTGTTTCTTTTTCAGGAAAGAAGGATTATAAATAAAGGACAACCATCCAAGCAGCACTACACTAATCAGGTCTTTATAGTAAGAGGTGCCAGACACAAACCTAAAAGCCCCCTGACAGCCTCCTGGGAGTTTGCCAAATGGCTCCTGAATGACTCTCAGATCATGCAAAAGAACATCCTCTCCTTTTACAAAATGAAGACTGTACTATTCAGCCACAATTTCCAACTGTGAGAGTGGAGTAAAGCCACGCACTGAGCATCACCTCATATACTGCTTCTTGGGTCAAACGTGGTAATATGATTTCTGGAGACCAGTTCGAATGAACAAAATAATTTCAGTGGTTGAACTTATCATATTAGGATACCAACTAGTGTAAGTACGAAGAATAAGGAGTATTCCTTCTGGTTTTGGAAGCTGTGCAGATGGGAATAATTGTGCAGTTGTTATGATGTGTAGCTGCATCAACAACATGTTGTTCGAACTTCTGGCAGCAGCTGATTAGCGTCTGAAAAGATCAAGTAATTCTTGAAATATGACTCCGGAAGAGTTGAAAAGGAGGCTTCAGGGAAAAACCTTCAGACGGAAAGACCAGAGAGGGAAGGAACTCAAACCATCTCTTCCATCAGTCATAATGGGCGAGAATTACATCCTCAACTCAAACATCTCAGCTCAGCTTTTTAACCATACGACCAGGGAAAGATTTAACAAGGACCAGCAAAAGCAAATGAGGAGGATTAGCAGTGATTCCTAACTACAAGCTATTAGCATGCTAGGACAGTCATGAAACAATACGGCAACTGTTGTCTTTCAAAGGCCTCTTCAGATTTGTTGAAAGACTGATTGCTACCAGAGCTCCTTCGTGCCTACAGCGTCACCATCAACAACGACTCTCGATAATATGAGTTACAAAAACAGTTGACTTCCCTTTGGGATTAAAAAAAAAAAAAACATTGAATTGAACTGAGTTAATGGGTCACAGCCCTAGTTATACTCAGAGGAATGCATTTGCTTTATCATGTTAGCATATCTAGTTAACTATGAGATTGAAGTATTTGTGTTTTTGCAGGAAAATTACAAAAATGGTTTATCGCTATACCAACACTTTCTAGATAATTTATTTTATTTTTGATCTCTTTTTCCAGAAAGGCTACTCTTATCATATTATATCATGCAGCGGCGTGATTCAGTACATTTAGCCTGAGTTAATGGAACATTTCGATTACGTAAATCTTGTGTTGTTTTAGATGGAAATGTGTGTGTTTTCTGGCTTTTCCCTGCAGTGTGAGCGTGCACGGAAGGGAGACCTGCTGCAATGCATATCCACTATTTCACTTTTAATCAACGCTAAACAGATAAGCCCCCCAGACACGTGAGAAATGTAAATACACACTCACGCACAGGCAGCAGGGAGAGACAAATACATTTTTATCACATTACCCTGTACCACCGCCACGGTACAAAGGCCTTTTTGGCAGCAAGGGCTACAGTCTTCAATCCATCTCCCAACTGCATCGCCACCCACCCAAACACCCTCCTGTATGGCACAAGATTAAGTGCTGTTTTCATTGCTCCCTGTTTAGCCACTTGGTGTCGCAGTAATGTATGCGTCTCTCTGGAAATGTTTATTCCAAGAAGTTTACGACATATTCTCCCAGCTGTTTAGATCCAAGAACTGTCGGATACACAAACAGGATTGTATCACAAAATGCTGTGAAAAAGTATGAAACCTCTTACAGATTTCTTCAGTTTTTTCTTCATAATGTTCCAGTGTCTGAGATAAAAAAACAAAAAAACAACTCTATGTTATTAATAGGCACAATGAGAAGAAAATGCACTTATCAATTATATATATATATATATATATATATATATACATATATATATATATATATATATATATATATGGTTATGGGAAGGTTGGTGTCTATGTCCACCCTATATTGGGATAAGAAGCATGATGCCGTTGACACTTCACCAGTCCATTACATCAATAACCTTTTCTTTTTTTTTTTCAAGACGGAAAGCTCAAAAGTTCACCAGCTCTGGTTATTTACGAAGTAAGTTAAAAAGAGCCAGTCTGATAAAATAAAATAGACCAGAAGATCCCAAATAGCAACACATCAGGTTAAAATCTAAAGAAATTTAAGAATGGATCGGAAGCACAGTCAATGACATCTATTAGTCTGGAAGGGATTACAAAATCTTTTATAAGGCTTTTAGATCGCAGCAAACCATAGTGAGAGCAAATGTCTATTAATGGGGGGAGCATAGAACCATAGTCAACCTTTCCAGAGTTGGACGACCTACCTCACTTACTCCAAGATCACAGCAATGACCCATCCAGAAGGTCAGAACAATTTCTAAGAATAAAGCCTAAACTATTGCAGATCTTTCCTCAGCTGAGGTCAGTGTTCATGATTCAAAACTAAGAAATACACCAGGAAAAAAGAATAGCATCAAAAATAGAGCTCCAAGTTGAACATCTCCTCTGACCAAAAATAACAAAAAGGCCGATCTCACAATCACCAAAATAACATCTTGATGGACTGTAATAATTTGTGGGAATATTCTATCGATGAAAAACATACACCTTCGTTTGAAGGTGAATGTCCCATAATATCTGATGTAAAAACACACAATTTTGTTAAGTAATACCATACTGACAGTGAAATATGATGGGCTAGTATAATAGCCTTGGCCATTTTTTTACTGCTTAAAGACAAACAATTTGCTGCGACAATGGCATCATGAATTCTGTGCTCTAGCAGTAAATCCTGAAGGAAAATGCCAGCTGACCAGTTTGTGACCTCAAGCTCCAGCACACTTTGGTTATTAAGATGACAGCAAAAACTGCTGCTCTGAATGGCACCAGAAATACTTTTTCACATTACTAAACATGTTTTTTCTAAACATAGGCCCAAACACTCATGTACATACAGAACAGAAAATTAAAGAAATACAAACAAATTTGCAAAAACCCCAAATTAAACAAATGTGAGTAAAAGGCCAAATGTTGACGAGGTTTCACACCATAGACATTGATACGGAAATACACACACAAACGCACACAGACAACAAGGAATGCAG